GAAGTGTGGTTTTACTGTGGCATGAAGATGATTGGAAGCTCAGTGAAAAACTGTTACGGCTGTTTGTATTGAATACATATCTTATCATGAGCATCAACAAACACATTTAATCAGAGTGAACTTTATATGTACCTGACAAAAAGGGGTAATAGCAAAACACGTACGTAAAAGTTTGTTTTTTTTTCACTTGTAGTTTTCACTCCTGGAAGACATTAGTTAAGCTTTAACTAACTATGTGTTTCAGCTAAAAAAAAACAAAAAAACAGTCATTTTCTCCAGCTTCTACACTAATGTAAGCCAGTTCATGAACAATGCATAAAAACAACAGAATTTATCTGTTAAATATTTTAGTATTCAGTCAACCATGGAGTAAATCTTCTGTACAGGCAGTCATGTCGCTGCCATGAGTCTTTGTCAGACCTTTTGTACAGAATTCCTTCTGAAATAATAAAGAAAAAAGAGTAATCATGGCACCAGAATTCCGAGCAACATTCTGGGAAGGGAAGATGGATGCGATCAGGTGGAGATGAATGTCGTCTGAAAGCCGAATGAGATGACAACTAAAAGCTGCATGTGTAAAGATGCGACGAGCAGGAGGCAGCGAGACAGAGTGAGTTGTGTCAAATGGATAAATGTCAGAGGGAGCTTCATCGTCTGCCGGAGCTCGCTCACCTCTCCCCTCCCCAAAATGCCATGCGTAAATCTCATGCAACCGGGGCCCTGTAATGAGATTACAGTCTTCTCCAATGCTGGCTCGCATGTGTAAAACAGAATAGTGTTGAGCCAAGTGTGGAAGAAGGGGCCCATCCTCAGTGGCTTACACGGTTGGAGAGAGTAAGCAGACATTACTCAAGCCACCAAAACACATAGTATCAAGGAAGATTTGGCCACTTATGTGTCATTCCACTCATATCAGCTTTGAAAATAGGCAGATTTTAAGAATCAGTCAGAAAATTGCTCCCTGTAAGTCAAGTGTGACGATATAAAACATGGGTTGGAGAGAAGTCTGCAATGACTGAAGCTATTTTATGAAATAGACACAATTTTCTCACCTCAACAGCCAGATGCTCATATTCTCTTTGCATGTGTGGTTCCCTTCCACCTTGCTAACATATGAGTGCAATAACGAGCACCTGCTATTTTTAATAGCGGTAATAAAGGCTCAACACACAGGGCACCATAGTGTTAGTGGGCGGCACAAGCAAAGAAATAAAAACCTTTGATCCCTTGTACCGAGATCTAATGGGATTGTATGACATAAACCCATACAGATTAAATTATATTCATGATGGGTATACCTCTTACATCTTTATTTAGAGATGCACAGATTTGATCATTGGAATTGGATCAGATATTAGCGCCGAAATTAACTAATAAGCTTAATCAGACATCTCCCATTTGCTATTGAAGACCTATTCCAGTGCAATTTACATACAATGATTCAATAAGTAATGCCCCCGACTCACTTTCAGATGTGTGATCGAGCTGAAATTTTGCATGTAACGTTATTTAAATCTCTATAGATTAAGTAGCAAACTACAGCTCTGAACTATTTGCGGTTTCTGACTTACAGGTATTTAAACTGAGTAAAGTCTGAAATGGTGTTAGAATCAAGTTTGTGTGGGTTGTTTGTGTGTTTTTCTCTACCTCCACCACCAGGTGGTGCCCTGTTCTCGTTGGCCTTCCTGCACACCTGCGGCTCGTTGGTTCATCACTGAAGAGTATTTGAGCGGCGGACTGTCACTACTTTCGACGCCAGAGTGTTTGCCAGTTTTGGGAAGCCTTCCTCTGTAACTGGATGCCTGGCCTTCTCCCCCTGGAAGGATTAACTGAGGTCACGCTGAGCAGGGGAAAACTTCCACACGTGCCATTCAAGTCCCTATTGGAAATCCAAGTAACAGTCCGCTCCATTGCTCCTCAGGGTCCTACGTATGTCTACCTGTCTGCTCTCCAACGAGTTCCCTCTTCTCTGGATAAACCCACACCAACCGTATCAAGGAAAGACAAGAACCCCCTCAAACATGAGTCCCGCTTCCACTGAGCTAAAGACTCAATCAGTTTTTCCTACGGCCCATGAACTGATCACTGTGATCTCCTCTCCAGACTTTCCAGTTCCGGTCCACCAGTTCTCTGAGTTCCTCATTCAACACCTGTACAGTCTCCTCAATAAACCTGTTAAACTTTCCCCCTGGTTCTCTGAGTGGTTCTCTGCATGTGGGTCAGATCTCTTAAATCGATCATGACAAATGGAGCCTGTTGTGTGTCGAGCAGTGATCCGGTTTTTCTTTTGGAAAGAACTCACACCATGGGAGAATTTCAATGAAATTAAAGTAACTTATGGTTATGATGCCTGTTATATGACCTTGCAAAATGTTTTACAAGGTTATATTATGGGACATTATCACTATACAGGTGCTGGTCATAAAATTAGAATATCATGAAAAAGTAGATTGATTTCAGTAATTCCATTTAAAAAGTGAAACTTGTATATTATATTCATACATTACATACAAACTCATATATTTCAGATGATTATTTTGTTTAATTTTGATGATTACAAATGACAACAAATGAAAATCTCAAATTCATCATATCAGAAAATTAGAATATTACTGAAGACCAATAAAAACAAAGGATTTATAGAAATGTTGGCCAACTGAAAAGTATGAACATGAAAAGTATGAGCATGTACAGCACTCAGTATTTAGTTGGGCCTCCTTTGGCCTGTATTACTGCAGCAATGCAGCGTGGCATGGAGTCGATCAGTCTGTGGCACTGCTCAGGTGTTATGATAGCCCAGGTTGCTCTAATAGTGGCTTTTAGCTCTTCTGAATTGTTGGGTCTGGTGTATTGCATCTTCTTCTTCACAATACCCCATAGATTTTCTATGGGGTTAAGGTCAGGAGAGTTTGCTGGCCAATTAAGAACAGGGATACCATGGTCCTTCAACCAGGTACTGGTAGCTTTGGCACTGTGTGCAGGTGCCAAGTCCTGTTGGAAAATGAAATCTGCATCTCCAAAAAGTTGGTCAGCTGCAGGAAGCATGAAGTGCTCTAAAACTTCCTGGTATGTGGCTGCGTTGACCCTGGACCTCAGAAAACACAATGGACCAACACCAGCAGATGACATGGCACCCCAAACCATCACTGACTGTGGAAACTTTACACTGGACTTCAAGCAACGTGGATGAAGTGCCTCTCTTCTTTTCCTCCAGACTCTGGGACCTTGATTTCCAAAGGAAATGCAAAATTTACTTTCATCAGAGAACATGACTTTGGACCACTCACCAGCAGTCCAGTCCTGTTTCTCTTTAGCCCAGGCAAGACGCTTCTGACGCTGTCTGTGGTTCAAGAGTGGCTTGACACAAGGAATGCGACAGCAGAAACCCATGTCTTTCATACGTCTGTGTGTGGTGGTTCTTGAAGCACTCACTCCAGCTGCAGTCCACTCTTTGTGAATCTCCCCCACATTTTTGAATGGGTTTTGTTTCACAATCCTCTCCAGGGTGCGGTTATCTCTCTTGCTTGAACACTTTTTTCGACCACATCTTTTCCTTCCCTTCGCCTCTCTATTAATGTGCTTGGACACTGAGCTCTGTGAACAGCCAGCCTCTTTAGCAATGACCTTTTGTGTCTTGCCCTCCTTGTGCAAGGTGTCGATGGTCGTCTTTTGGACAACTGTCAAGTCAGCAGTCTTCCCCATTATTGTGTAGCCTATAGAACTAGACTGAAATACCATTTAAAGGCTTTTGCAGGTGGTTTGAGTTAATTAGCTGATTAGAGTGTGGCACCAGGGGCCATCAATTTTGAACCTTTTCACAATATTCTAATTTTCTGATATGATGAATTTGAGATTTTCATTTGTTGTCATTTGTAATCATCAAAATTAAACAAAATAAACATCTGAAATATATGAGTTTGTATGTAATGTATGAATATAATATACAAGTTTCACTTTTTAAATGGAATTACTGAAATCAATCTACTTTTTCATGATATTCTAATTTTATGACCAGCACCTGTAAGTTACTGTCATTTGATCAAAAGTCTAAGGTTGTGTGCGTCCTTTCAAATATAAAAACTCAGACTTGACTCAGTTTTAATGCCAGTAAAACAGAAACCACAATTAGTTCAGAGCTGTAATTGGCTATTTAATCTATAGAGATGTAAAATACTTCACCTGCAAAATTTCAACTCAATCAAACATTTTGAAGTGGGCCAGTGGCATTACTTATTGAACACCCATCATAGAACTGTTATTTGTTTATTTTTTGCTGCTTGTGTATTCTTAACAGAACACCCCTTTATCTATCTATCTATCTATCTATCTATCTATCTATCTATCTATCTATCTATCTATCTATCTATCTATCTATCTATCTATCTATCTATCTATCTATCTATCTATCTATCTATCTATCCATCCATCCATCCATCCATCCATCCATCCATCCATCCATCCATCCATCCATCCATCCATTTTGCGCTCCTGATAGATTGGTGCTCAAATGCGTCTTATTAAGTAAGGTTAAAGGAAGGCCAGGCAAGGCAAATTTATTTGTATAGCACAATTCAGTACAAAGACAATGCAAAGTGCTTTGCATGATTGAAATATAGGAAAATAAAACAGAATCAAAGCAAGTAGGAAAAAAATAAAATAAAAAATGTAGAAACAAAAAAGAATATTAAAAACAATTGGACTAACAAAATGACCTCAAAACCTAATGTTTGGATCATAACTTCTCCACTCAGACTGGCCTCTGAGTTGCTCTTCCAGATCTAAGTAGCCATCCATAAATAGCTCACCTATGGAGCCCACATGCAGTTGGAGTGAAGCGCCAACAGAGCCAATCGGGTTCCATCAAGTCCCACCCTTAAACTGCTCTAATTACCATCACCTCCTCTCCCTCACCAACTCGGCCGCCCACTCACCAAAAAAAGTACTCACGCCCCTTCATTTAGCAAAGCCCCTCCCTCTCCGCTGGCTCCCCTATCAGAGGCTGTTTTGGCAACACCGATGCGCGTGGAGCGTCCATCCACCTCCAGTCTCCTTTACGCACCGATTATGCGGGCAGGTACAGGGACTCTAATTGCTCCGCGTTCAGCCGCTGCACTGCGCTTTTAATCCGCACCAAACGGACTAATATGAAAGAAGTGGATGTAGAAGTGTGAGAGATCATCAGAGAGGAGGCAGGCGCGTTTTCTGGTGGATCCTTCTGCTGCTTTTTCTCTTCCCCCCTCTTTTTTTTATACTCGCCTCCCTTTCCTTCTCTCTCGCTCTCCGCTGAAGCGTCAGCATGGATGTCTTGGCGAACCACAGCATCTTTCAGGAACTTCAGCTCGTCCATGACACCGGCTACTTCTCAGCCATGCCATCTCTGGAGGAGAACTGGCAGCAGGTACGTGGCGCATCCCTCAGACCCATGCGCTCTGCAAGCAGGCGTTAACTTTCTTCCCTTTTTTTGATTCCAACAGGGAATAAAATGTATTTCCTCTCCCATTTTTGCTCTAATAAAGCTGTCAAACGCTTTAGTGGAAGATGAAGATCTAGATCTCATAATGCACACTGAATTGCTGGTGAATAATATATGCATCCTTTAGATTACTCAGTTGTAACCCCCTCCTCCCTTTCCCTCTCTTATCCATAATACATACCCTTACATGTCTTGCTTTTTTTCATTTTTAATTGGAAGAAGGGAAAGAGAAAAGCAGTCAAATGTCACTGATTTCCACCTTTATCCGCCATTCTGCGTTGAAGTTAGGTGTGGAGACGTAGAGGCACATGGAGCCGGTTCATAAAAAAAATCTGAAATTGATTTTTGTTTGAATTTTCCAGCAAAAACTATTGATCTTTTTGCTTGTTTGAGTGATTAAACATCAGTAAGAGAATTTTTTTTTTATGTAAAAGCAATGAAATAATTATTTTGCACCTTTTCTTTTATAATTATAAGTCCTTCCAGGAGCCACCTGCATGCAGAGCCGGCCAGAGAAATAAACAAACTATGCAACTGCTTAGGTCCTCCCAATCATTATTTTTTCTTTAAAAAAAAGTCAGTTTAGTACAATGATAAAAATCAGCTTTCCAAATGTAGCTCTAATATGTTAATAACACATTTTGATTTTAATATTAATCCTTCATAGCTAGTGTCAATCCCCAATGTCTAGAATTACAATTTGCACCAAAATAATGAAAAAATATCAACAAATTAACATGTCCCCCATCACATAGAACACATTAAGTCAACAAATAGACTATTTTCAGATAATATCCTAATATTATGTTATTTAAAAGTATTTTGCACACAACTTCAAATATGAAGGATATTAAGGAGATGTTAGAGAGGTTCCAACTCTGTATGTGAGAATTAAGGTTCACTTTTGTGTAGATATTGCAAATATCATATATATCGAATTAATATCTGTTTGCTTTTCCCATTTCTCATTTTATTTTTCTTTGCAATTCATGATTGCATGGAGAAAGCTAACTGAAGCAGCTACTTAAGACCTCCCTACCAGCAGGGGGAGTACAAGAGCCCTAGAATTTAACAGAAAAGTAATAATAGTAATTTATATATGTTGTAGTTCAATTTCTTCAACAAGTTCAGAATCAATGTCAATAATAATCTTCTACATACTTAGAAAATAATTAGTAAGTTCTAACTGTGTAGAATTTTTAAATGAAATATTAAATATATAGATATATTTTATCAGCAAACTGGACTCTAGTTATTTTAGATGTATGTTGCAAAAAAGTTTATACTCCCGTTATCCTCTAGGGATATTTGAGTTGTGATTGGTGAAAAGGCTGCCTAAATCAAACATTTCCTTCAGTTTTCCTTCAACCATGGGACGAATCCGCCTTCATTGCCTGTTGGAGACTCTGCGTTCATGGTGCACATGACTGACCAGACAAATAATGCAAAATAGAGAGAGCGAAGGAAGGGAAATCAATGCATGGAAATATGATGCCGTTATTGTTCTTGTAAGAGTAGCTGTTGTTTTCTTTTTCTCCTACTTCTCTGCTCTATGCTGGATGATGCAGGATGGAGGAGGGGAGAAACCAGTGCATGACCGTGGATCTCCTCTCCGTGGCCGAGCAGCCTAATTGGCATCCTACTGTTCGCCACCGACGCATCTTTTCATAACAAGTCTCAAACTCCCTGTCAGTGCCTTTTTTTTTTTTATCGCACCATGTACCATATGCAGCAGCGCTGTTTCTCACCCCACAGCCTGCGTCTTAAAATCAATACCTGATGCAAATGGAAGAGGGAGACAGCTGCGTGTGTAGGCTGGGAAATCTCTTATCTGTGAGGAGTGAAAATGGCAGTTTTCTGCTTTGACGAGGAGAATTGTTTTGCAGCATTTTAAACTAACATAATATCTGCTTCGGAGAAAAAAAAAGGAAGCACTATTCAGTAAAAAAAATTAGATTTCTTCTTCTTCAAAAAAAATCCAGTTTACCTCAATTTTCTGCTGATGTTTTAAACAAATAAAGCGCTTTTTTTAAACTGCAGCTGTTTAATTCTGAATTTCCATCCACCTTTTCAGTAGTTATTCCAACAAAAAATGTAGAGACTCTTGAATCTGATATGATTTTAGTCTTATTTCACACCTTCATCCTGTTACATACCCCTATATTACATAAAAATGTGTGAAATGAACATTACCATATCTTTCGGTATGCAAACTATGGGTGGGTATTGCCAAAGGAGTCACAATTCGATTCGAATCACGATTCACAGGCCACGATGCGATTCTATCACGATGCATCACGATACTTGAATTATTGCGATGCATTCCTCCATGTTTTGTTTTTGAATGACTCGGCGCAGTAGAAATGCTTGTGACACAAGGCAGTGTGCGTCAACACATCCGCAGCGACATCTACTGGACTGGAAGTTGTATTACACTTGTTTTTGGCTGATGTTCGTCCAACCATTCATGCAATTTTATTTACTAATTTTTTAAAATTAATAATCGATACTTGGCGTCAAGAATCGATGCAGTAGATCATGAAAATTAGAATCACGATGCATCATCATGACGATTATTTTGCACACCCCTAATGCAAACTGGCCTTTTGCATCATTAGCCAGGTGTTGTACAACAAGGCGGCAAATTATACATTTTTATCTATATTGAGCTTTCATTGCACTGTAATTATCTTCAGCAAAAGTAAGCAGGAGTCTTAAGCTGAAAGTATTCCCTTCTGGACTCTAAAGGGATTTTAAGTGTGTCTGTGACATAAAAGCTACCCTAGGGTGTTTAATTAGTGGTAGGGTCTCAGTTCACACATTGGTTATGTCTGAGAAGCTGTAGACTAATCATGATTCAGCAGCTAGCTGTAGAGATGTCCCGATCCAGGTTTTTGCACTTCCGATCCGATACCGATATTGTTTTTGGACTTCCGATCCGATACCGATACTGGCCGATACCAGCCTATTATGTATTTAAGTTTAAGTTAAAGTATTTAGCCTTAGTTGTAAGACTCATGTTGAAAAGGGTTTTAGTACTCTTGATAACATCTAGCCAGCTATAATTAGGTGAGATTGAATAAAACACAATGATTGGTAACAACAAACCTATCTGTTTATTAAGAGATAAACACAAACTGGACAAAATTATGAATAGCAATCTGAAATTGCACAGTGAGCAGTAAAACCGTAAACAGTTAAAGGTGCAAGTATTACTGTAAGTTTTAATAAAAATGCAAAACAGGGGAACACTGGCGCAAAATAGTGGAATGGATCGTTTCAATCGGCGAAACTGGAAAATACGGACCGGATTTTTTTTTAAAAACTGGATCGGCAGTCTGGATCGGCATTTTACATGCTTTGCCGATACGCATTTTTTTGCCAATATCGGCATCCCGATCCGATACGTGGATCGGATCGGGACAAGCCTAGCTAGCTGTGTTGATTCTGTTAAGGTACTGCATTTCCCAGCCTGAAATGAAGGGGACCGAGATCGCATCCCTGCGGGATGCCAGATGGAGAACGACTGTTAGCAAACCTGGTGTGTCTTTTTCCAATGGGTTTAATATTATCAAGCTGAATGAATTGATGGACGTACCGCCATCATTAGGAGATTAGGTTAACTGCTATTTTGTAAAATAGATAAAAGTTGGAACAACAGCGTGAACAGAGATGTTTAAGAAACAGTTTGCCAGTACTACCAACCTACAACTTTACCCAGGGTACTTACACACTGTGAAAACTCTTAGATTGTAATGTGAGCGTTTTTAAGTTCCAGATAAATAGGAAATATATGAAAATTATATAGATTTTTCATTAGCAGAATTTTTACTGCTATCACTATATCTGTCTGTCCATTGCTCTTTCAGACAGCCTATTTGGTCAATGTTGAATACATATGAAATTAATTTGTGACAAACGTTTTTATTTTAACCATAAAAGTGCTTAAAAGTCCGGTAGCAGAAAGTCCTTGGTTTGAATCCCTGTATGTCCTATCCAGATACTCCATTCTTTTCTAACTTTCCAAACACAAACATGTTTAGAAAATTAGCCATTTATTACTCTGTGATCGCTGGGTTTGGGGTAATTCCTGCCTCTAGCCTGATCACTGCTTCACCACACAACAGTGCTGCATCCAACCCATGACCCTACGAGGATGATGCAGGTATGGGAATGGAAATTGGGACAGCCATGTAGTTCAGAAATGAACAATGTTTGGTTAGGAACCCTTTTAACCTGTAATTTTGCCTTTGAACATTGTTCTTTTTGCTGTTAAGGGATTTTGATGACTTTACAAATACAGTCTTCAATGAAAGGTGACCTCAGTCCATCGTTGTACCTTCGTTTTTCAGTCTGCAGACATTACATCAATTTCTTTCCATTTATTATGGGAACATCTTACATGTTAAAGTTGAAATGACCCACAAAAACAATGGAAAGTGTTTCTAGTAAGATTATTTGTACCAGTAAGCTTGCATCTTGATACATAAATTGTTAGGATATAGATATATGAAGATGTTCTTATTGTAAGCAAGGTAAACAAGAGGGTTGGCATAGAAAAGAGTGCGAAACTGAGGACCCAATGATTACCGACAACACAATTATCGTGTAAAAAACATGAAAACAGGTGCTAACAACTCACAAATGTTAAGAAACGGGTTTTAAATCTCTGAATTATCGAATGGCTTTCGCTGAGGAAGAAAAGTAAAGACAAAACCAACTGCAAAACACTTAAAGCTACGCAGGAGAAATAAAGTAGAAAACACCTGGGAAAAGGTAAAGAAATTGAAAAATATGGAAAACCCAAAACGGCAAAACTAACAGAAGCCATAAGAAACACAGTCAAAAAAAAAGAGAAAGTTTTTTGTTTGTGAACTTTATTTTTAAAGAGTCGTGAAGCAAAGCCTTGACCCAAACCTGTGCGG